TAAAAAAAAGCTGACCAATGCAACCACAAGTGTGGTCCCTGGGAGAAAATACATCTGAGAGCCCCATCCTAGGACCAGGGCAGAGCAGAGGGACAACCAGGAAGTGAGGCACACATAGACCCTCCTGGACGGGTCACCATGCCACCTCAGACTCCATGGCAGACTGTCCTTGTGATGCTTCTTCTGTTTGCCTCCCCTCTGAACTCTCACTTTTTTTTTTCTCCTTTGCTTTCTTTTATCTTCCAGTCAGGCCTGCCCTTCCCTGGCGCCTTAAGTGCTGTCCTACTTCTAGAGTCCTGAGATGGCCCCAGCCCCTACCCCAGTCGCAGGGCACAGCTCCCAACACAGTCAAGAATGTACCCATAATGCCTTGGTAGGTGATAGGAACAGAGAGCTCCCCCCCAGGGGTGATCCCATGGAGGAATAGCTTGTAGGGGGCTCCGGGAGGGGGTGGGGGCACCAAAGCCTGGTGGACGTCTCCTGGCAGCAGTTCTTCGTGCTCCCAAGGCCCCTCGGACACCTGCATGCGCAGCTGGAAGTGGGCAAAGCTGTCGGGCTGGGCAGTCCAGGCCACTCGGAGGCGCCCTGCCTTGTCCCTGCCCAGCACCTTCAACTCTCCCAGAGGGTGGTGCTCCAGGATCAGGATAGGAGCCTGGGCCCCTTGGGTCGTAGAGGGGCCTGAGGGAGGAGGCTCATCGGTAGCCTCCAAGAGGCCAGAGGGTAAGGACCCTGGGAAGGAGCAGAGTGAGTAAGAAAAAAAAAACAAAAACAAAAACAGGAGAGCGGAGCATAAGATCAGGAAGGGCACCCCCAGGCCCCAAGTGTGCCCTCCAGCCTCTGAGGGCCAGAAGGCTTCCCTCCCCTCTCCCAAGCTGCTCTTCAGCCTTCTTCTTCCCATATTTGGGCCGAGTCCTCCAAAAGGAGTCCTCCCCATGGAGCTCTTTCTGGATCAGGCAGGCCTGGCTTAGGGCAGGCAGTGACAGATAAAACCTGCTATCTCTCCCTGCTAGAGGCTTCCCCGACCCCAGGCTCCAAATGTCCACACTGCCCCCACCCCCACTGGACTCTCTCCACCTTCCATTAGTGCTGTAGTGAGAAGCCTGGAAGAAAGGAGGGGGCTGTGTCGTTAGGAGGGAAAGGGTGGAGCGCAAACAGGGTGCGAGGGTGGACGGAGGTCCAATTCCTGTGGCATCTGGGCCCTATGGAGGAAGAACAGGTCCACCCCGACCCTGCAGCCACAAAGCACCCTGTCCCTGGACCAGGCATCAGTCCTGTGGGAGAAACCAGCTGGAGGGGAGCCAAGTCTGGGAAAGCGGTTCAGGAAACCCCGTGGTTTCACCTCCCACCGTCCACATGTGGCCCCGATGGCTTTCAAGGCCACCCCTCAAGCCATTTTGCTGCATCCGGTCAAGGTCAAAGCCAACTTGTGGGAAATAACCACAGACCACAGGCATCAGGCACCGTCGCCGCAGTGAGTCAGAGTGGGAATCTCTGGTTTCAATCCCACCCACCGAAACTGCAGCCGACACAAGGCGGCCTTCCACCGCCTGCACGGGAGGCATCCTAACCGCAGGTCAGCTCCGAGTGCAGCCGTACACAAAACTCTAAACTTGCTCTAAACATTATGAGATGGTGCTTTTGTGGTTTTAGGCTTTTTTTTTATCTAGTTAGAAAAAAACCCAAACAAACTCAAGTGCAAGGTTCTTGAGTATGAACTTTGCAGACAATTATTGTGTCGCTATGTCAAGATGCTAGACTTGCCTGGCAGTAGCAGGCATTGTCAAAGAGCTTGGGAACCCAGGTGTGAGCCAGGGAACTTCACAAGCCGGGTCTATTTAGCTTTGATTATCCTCAGGAGGATGCCAGGACCCTGGGATCGGGTAGGTTTTTTGTGACAGTGGCGAGCAGCTTTCTGTGGTAGTTTCCTGCAGCCTGGGCCAGGTAGACTAGGAGGTGGAAGGACATGGTGAGGGGTGGAGGCCTAATTGGTGAGGTAGCAGGAATAAGCAGGTATAATCCTGAAGGCAGGTGACGCAGGACAGGGGGTGGGCAGCCCAAGGCCCCGCCCACACTACCTGTGGTGGTGGTGGTGGTGATGAAGGCGTAGGACTTGGAAGTCTCCCCTGCCCGTACCCCATGGACTTCCACGTGGTAAGTAGTGCCGGGCCTGAGGTTGGGCAAGCGGACAGTGCGTTCCGAACCATCCACAGTCAGCTCCCCGCTGGGGCCCTCGGCCGGTGGCAGTGGCCGCCAGCGCAACACCACGCGCTCGAACTGACCCCGGAGCCCGTCCAGGGACACAATCAGCGAGCCGTCAGCTGCACTGCCCAGCACCTCGGGTTTCGGGTGGCGCGCTGCAGTCACCGGGTATGCACCATCCGATGCTGGGCCCACAGCACCCTGATCCGAGTCCCGCTTCCTGGTGCTTTGGGTGGAACTAGTGGTGGGGTGTGGGTGACGTGGCTGGGATGCTGGGGCACCCGCTGTTTGATGGCGCTTCAAGAACTCATGGATGTGGCGCGCTACCGACGCGTAAGTCTGGTTGGCGCGCAGCGGGTAGCCGTGGGTTCGCAAGTGACGCTCCAGGTCCTGTACCGTGCCGCGGAAGCGGCCCAGTTCAGTCGTCAGGTTACCCCACGGCCGTCGGGGAGGCTGGGGCAGTCTCGGCCGGTGATGCCACTCTTTCTCGCCCCTCTCTGGGGGAGGCAAGGGCGGGGAGGGCCGCGGAGGCCGGGGACGGGGGTTGGGGGGCGGGGCTGGGGGGTGCACCTCCGGGTAACTGTAGTGGCCTGGTGCTGCCAAGCGAGAAAGGGGGAGGGGACAGCAGGTCAGTGTCAGGTTCCCCCACCTCACCGCTCCGTTCCCCCAATCGGGACAGGCCTCTTTCCCGAGCCCCAGTCCCACCTAGAAAGAGAAATTAGTTGTCCCGAGCCCCACCCACTCCTTTGCCTTCCAATCCTGCCACTGTTGGCGCCCTAGAAGGAAAGAAAAAAAAAAAGCCGGCAGGTGGAGCGTGTATCTGACGGAGAGAACAGGAAAGGGGGACGAAAATGTGACCTATGCCGTAGAGGGTGTCGCCTTGTCCCAGGAAAAGCAAAGGAAGATCCATCTGGGTGTCTGTTAAGAAACCTTGAGTGTTGGTGGGAAATGACTGATATGAGACCCAACCCCAGACCACCCCAGTCCAAAAGTCAGCAGGACCGTGACCTGTGACTCGCTCTAGTGCCAGCATCAAACTGTCCACTGGGTGGATCACAGCATCTTCTGTATACTGCTTCCCTCCCAGGGGGCGGTCCTTCCCACAGTCTAACCTACATGCAAGCGTCCTATAGAACTCCAAGCACCTAAGGGCTGTCTCCTGGGTGCCTTCAGAACAGAGCAAGGCTGTAGCAGGTGTTCTGGGATCACCACAGCCATCTCTGACCCTCCAGCCTGGGTGCCCAAGGAAAGGACCCCCAGTTTCAGAAACCAG